TACACTCATCTCTCACTCTCCCTTATACTACAGTACCTCCACTATCCCCTGGCTTAGTCCCTAGGAGAAGATCCAATCCAGACCCACACTATCACCTTGGAGACCCTGTGAGCTGCAGAAGTCTGTGTGTTGAGAGAAAGCTGAGACACTTAAACATAAATCAGTGGCTCTCCCTGTAGGTCCCCATAGGGCCAGGGTTCACTTGCAGGTAAGATGTTACCAGATTACCAGGTCTGTGTCACACTCTCGATGCCCCCTGCGGATGTGATGTGTTTTGCCCGCCATCCCACCCTCCCTTCCCGTCTAAAGCCTGGGTTTCGTCTTCTTTCCTCCCCCTATCCTGTGGTGAACCAGCTGGAGAGCATAGGGAACCTGATCTTCTTGGAAGCTAAAGTCCACTGTAGAGAGAAGGGGAGTACTTGCACGACAGCATCGCCATTTCCCAATGGAACAGGCGACCGGGCCGGACGGTGGGAACCAAGCGCTGTTTCTGATCATAACTTCTCCCTGTCCATTAGTCTGGAAGGTGTTGACATGTTACTTGAAACAAAAGGCGGACCTGACAACAGGCAGCTGTGGTTTTGGCTAGTGGATCGCAAGCGGGTAGATGACTACCAACCTTTCGTTCAAACATATATTGGGGAAAAAATTCTAAAGCTCTGTGCATCATACCGCATTAGTGTTACGGAACTACAGTGAGGGAAAATAGTATTTGATCCCCTGCTGATTTTGTACGTTTGCCCACTGACAAAGAAATGATCAGTCTATAATTTTAATGGTAGGTTTATTTGAACAGTGAGAGACAGAATAACAACAAAAATATCCAGAAGAACGCATGTCAAAAATGTTATGAATTGATTTGCATTTTAATGAGGGAAATAAGTATTTGACCCCCTCTCAATCAGAAAGATTTCTGGCTCCCAGGTTTCTTTTATACAGGTAACGAGCTGAGATTAGGAGCACACTCTTAAAGGGAGTGCTCCTAATCTCAGTTTGTTACCTGTATAAAAGACACCTGTCCACAGAAGCAATCAATCAATCAGATTCCAAACTCTCCACCATGGCCAAGACCAAAGAGCTCTCCAAGGATGTCAGGGACAAGATTGTAGACCTACACAAGGCTGGAATGGGCTACAAGACCATCGCCAAGCAGCTTGGTGAGAAGGTGACAACAGTTGGTGCGATTATTCGCAAATGGAAGAAACACAAAATAACTGTCAATCTCACTCGGCCTGGGGCTCCATGCAAGATCTCACCTTGTGGAGTTGCAATGATCATGAGAACGGTGAGGAATCAGCCCAGAACTACACGGGAGGATCTTGTCAATGATCTCAAGGCAGCTGGGACCATAGTCACCAAGAAAACAATTGGTAACACACTAAGCCGTGAAGGACTGAAATCCTGCAGCGCCCACAAGGTCCCCCTGCTCAAGAAAGCACATATACATGCCCATCTGAAGTTTGCCAATGAACATCTGAATGATTCAGAGGAGAACTGGGTGAAAGTGTTGTGGTCAGATGAGACCAAAATCGAGCTCTTTGGCATCAACTCAACTCGCCGTGTTTGGAGGAGGAGGAATGCTGCCTAATACCCCAAGAACACCATCCCCACCGTAAAACATGGAGGTGGAAACATTATGCTTTGGGGGTGTTTTTCTGCTAAGGGGACAGGACAACTTTACCGCATCAAAGGGACGATGGACGGGGCCATGTACCGTCAAATCTTGGGTGAGAACCTCCTTCCCTCAGCCAGGGCATTGAAAATGGGTCGTGGATGGGTATTCCAGCATGACAATGACCCAAAACACACGGCCAAGGCAACAAAGGAGTGGCTCAAGAAGAAGCACATTAAGGTCCTGGAGTGGCCTAGCCAGTCTCCAGACCTTAATCCCATAGAAAATCTGTGGAGGGAGCTGAAGGTTCGAGTTGCCAAACGTCAGGCTCGAAACCTTAATGACTTGGAGAAGATCTGCAAAGAGGAGTGGGACGAAATCCCTCCTGAGATGTGTGCAAACCTGGTGGCCAACTACAAGAAACGTCTGACCTCTGTGATTGCCAACAAGGGTTTTGCCACCAAGTACTAAGTCATGTTTTGCAGAGGGGTCAAATACTTATTTCCCTCATTAAAATGCAAATCAATTTATAACATTTTTGACGTGTTTTTCTGGATTTTTTTGTTGTTATTCTGTCTCTCACTGTTCAAATAAACCTACCATTAAAATTATAGACTGATCATGTCTTTGTCAGTGGGCAAACTTACAAAATCAGCAGGGGATCAAATACTTTTTTCCCTCACTGTAACCACTCAAATTCATACAAACTGCTACCAACACAAGAACTGACTTATATTCACTTGTCCTTGCTGTGTTTAGACAGGCAGCCCAGTTCTGATATTTTTTCCACTAATTGGTCTTTTGTCCAATCATATCAATCTTTTCATGTCAGCTCTTTTTCAGAGCTGATCTGATTGTTTAAAAGAACAATTAGTGAAAAAAAGATCAGACTTGGGCTGTCTATCTAAACACAGCCTATTTGTCCTATTCTTCAGTCTTGTCTGGGATATACACTGCTCAAAAAAATTAAGGGAACACTAAAGTAACACATCCTAGATCTGAATGAATGAAATAATCTTATTAAATACTTTTTTTCTTTACATAGTTGAATGTGCTGACAACAAAATCACACAAAAATTATCAATGGAAATCAAATGTATCAACCCATGGAGGTCTGGATTTGGAGTCACCCTCAAAATTAAAGTGGAAAACCACACTACAGGCTGATCCAACTTTGATGTAATGTCCTTAAAACAAGTCAAAATGAGGCTCAGTAGTGTGTGTGGCCTCCACGTGCCTGTATGACCTCACTACAATGCCTGGGCATGCTCCTGATGAGGTGGCGGATGGTCTCCTGAGGGATCTCCTCCCAGACCTGGACTAAAGCATCCGCCAACTCCTGGACAGTCTGTGGTGCAACGTGGCGTTGGTGGATGGAGCGAGACATGATGTCCCAGATGTGCTCAATTGGATTCAGGTCTGGGGAACGGGCGGGCCAGTCCATAGCATCAATGCCTTCCTCTTGCAGGAACTGCTGACACACTCCAGCCACATGAGGTCTAGCATTGTCTTGCATTAGGAGGAACCCAGGGCCAACCGCACCAGCATATGGTCTCACATGGGGTCTGAGGATCTCATCTCGGTACCTAATGGCAGTCAGGCTACCTCTGGCGAGCACATGGAGGGCTGTGCGGCCCCCCAAAGAAATGCCACCCCACACCATGACTGACCCACCGCCAAACCGGTTATGCTGGAGGATGTTGCAGGCAGCAGAATGTTCTTCACGGCGTCTCCAGACTCTGTCACGTCTGTCACATGTGCTCAGTGTGAACCTGCTTTCATCTGTGAAGAGCACAGGGCGCCAGTGGCGAATTTGCCAATCTTGGTGTTCTCTGGCAAATGCCAAACGTCCTGCACGGTGTTGGGCTGTAAGCACAACCCCCACCTGTGGACGTCGGGCCCTCATACCACCCTCATGGAGTCTGTTTCTGACCGTTTGAGCAGACACATGCACATTTGTGTCCTGCTGGAGGTCATTTTGCAGGGCTCTGGCAGTGCTCCTCCTGGTCCTCCTCGCACAAAGGCGGAGGTAGCAGTCCTGCTGCTGGGTTGTTGCCCTCCTACGGCCTCCTCCACGTCTCCTGATGTACTGGCCTGTCTCCTGGTAGCGCCTCCATGCTCTGGACACTACGCTGACAGACACAGCAGACCTTCTTGCCACAGCTCGCATTGATGTGCCATCCTGGATGAGCTGCACTACCTGAGCCACTTGTGTGTGTTGTAGACTCCGTCTCATGCTACCACTAGAGTGAAAGCACCGCCAGCATTCAAAAGTGACCAAAACATCAGCCAGGAAGCATAGGAACTGAGAAGTGGTCTGTGGTCACCACCTGCAAAACCAGTCCTTTATTGGGGGTGTCTTGCTAATTGCCTATAATTTCCACCTGTTGTCTATTCCATTTGCACAACAGCATGTGAAATGTATTGTCAATCAGTGTTGCTTCCTAAGTGGACAGTTTGATTTCACAGAAGTGTGATTGACTTGGAGTTACATTGTGTTGTTTAAGTGTTCCCTTTTTTGAGCAGTGTATATTTTAGTTGGCACACCTGTGTGATGTCCTTTATACATGAATATACATTTATTTACCCTTTTTGAATCATAAGCTCTTAAGTGTTGTCTTGATGGATAAAGTCAGCATGTTATCAGATGTTTAAGTTACCATAGTAGTTAGTAAAACTGAGCAGAACAGGCTAAAAAACTGTTATTGTTTTGTAACCTATTAAAAAATGATATATGTGCTTTCTTGAGCAGGGGGACCTTGCGGGCGCTGCAGGATTTCAGTCCTTCACGGCGTAGTGTGTAACCAACTGTTTTCTTGGTGACTATGGTCCCAGCTGCCTTGAGATCATTGACAAGATCCTCCCGTGTAGTTCTGGGCTGATTCCTCACCGTTCTCATGATCATAGCAACTCCACGAGGTGATATCTTGCATGGAGCCCCAGGTCGAGGGAGATTGACAGTTATTTTGTGTTTCTTCCATTTGCGAATAATCGCACCAACTGTTGTCACCTTCTCACCTGACATCCTTGGAGAGCTCTTTGGTCTTGGCCATGGTGGAGAGTTTCTGATTGCTTCTGTGGACAGGTGTCTTTTATACAGGTAACAAGCCGAGATTAGGAGCACTCCCTTTAAGAGTGTGCTCCTAATCTCAGCTCGTTACCTGTATAAAAGACACCTGGGAGCCAGAAATCTTTCTGATTGAGAGGGGGTCAAATACTTATTTCCCTCATTAAAATGCAAATCAATTTATAACATTTTTTACATGCGTTTTTCTGGATTTTTTTGTTGTTATTCTGCCTCTCACTGTTCAAATAAACCTACCATTAAAATTATAGACTGATCATTTCTTTGTCAGTGGGAAAATGTACAAAATCAGCAGGGGATCAAATACTTTTTTCCCTCACTGTAGCTTTTTATTAAAGTGATCATCATGAGATCATAGTAATAGATCGACTGTACAAAAGGGTTCAAAGAAAGTATCTGCATTTATTTAAGGTAAAGATGACTCAAATAAGAACTACTTGCTTGATAGATCGCCAATTATTGGCAGATGCTGGAGTTCTACCTCAGAAACTGCCATAGTCTGCTTACTGTAGGTACTAAAGGCACATAGTCAGTGCTACCACCATCAGTGCATCTTTTGTTACATCAACAACCAGTATCAGTCCGCAGGAACCACATCACAAAACATCTAAACACTTTAAATAACTGTCTCATGTAGCCAATATAGTTGGTTTCTTCACTGTATCGTTTTTGTGATGGTGAACAGTGCAATGTCTCAGAAGTTAAGAGCTGTGTGGGAGTGAATGCCCTCTCCATCTGCGCCCCCACGCTCAGAGGAGGTCCCCTGGTGGAGAAGGCGCGTAAGGAGGTGCAGCAGGCGCTTCTGGACGGCCTGGGCACGCTCCTCGTCCTCTCCCCAGGGCGTCTCGGCGCACTCCTGCACCGCCCGCTGGAGGTCCACCTGGAGGGGGAGGCCCGCCTTGGCACCCAGCAGCGTGGGAGAGAACCAGGGCCTGAAGATCTTCTCACAGATCACCTGTCCAGAGCAGAAGAGAGGGGGAGAGAAGAGGGGATGACAGTCCAGAGAGGAGCGAAGAAAGGAGGAGAGAAGAGGGGGTGACAGTCAGAGACCCAAGAGGAAAGGAGGAAGAGGGGTAACAGAGAGGAGAGAGAAGAGTAGGGGACAGTCAGAAACACAAGGAAAGTGGGGGAGGGGGGATGACAGAGGTGGACAGTCAGAGAGGAGAAGAAAGAGGGGTGGACAAGAGAAAAGGGGAGGGGGGTTGGTCATTGTGAGAGTGACCTACTGTTCCTTAGTTCTTATTTCATTATCACCGGGGCCATCATCAGTCATATTCTTATTACACGCCCGTTTGAAGGGGACGAGAGCCCCCGAGACACAAATCGTCTCCTTGACCCCCGCAATCGTTTAAAGACAAAGCCACCATTGTCTCCCGGATGGCAGGCAGTACAATGGAGAGGTAGGGGTCAGCGAGGGTCGCGATAAGTGATCAGGAGCGGAGGAAAGGTATCATTCGCAGCAGCCACCTGTGGCCTCGAGGTGGACCTGGTGTCATCACGTATGCGACATTGTCTGGGAGCTCTCCGCTTCTCCACAGCATTCGGCAATATGAGTGACGACAGTATTTCAACTTATCAATTAGATGCGTATTATGTCAAAGACTAGGTATTGACTAGGGTGACAACATGTCCCGGATTGTGCGGGACCTTGCCTTTTGTCCAGCGTCCCGCAACCAAACAATCATGTCCTGCATTTTATCAACAAATTCAAACACCACTAATTTACAAAAAAGGTTAATTTGTCCAGTATTTCTGTCAGACATTCCAACCTGTCTCTTTTGCAGTCATGTTGCGCTTTTGTACTGCATTGCCTTTTAGGCCGGGTTTCAAACCGGGTTTCAAACCGATCGCAAACGCGGAAACATAGCATTTAAAATGTGTTTCGCTGACAAAACGCGATGGTATTGAATCCCGGCCGTAAAGGTGATTTCTGCTTAAGCTGACATCTGCTGTGTTTACAGCGAAAGTGATTTCTGCTGTGTTTACAGCGAAAGTGGGAAATGGTCTCTTGAGGTCTTATCTATCCTGGGGTTGCTTCTTGTATTATAATCATGCTCTGAAATTCAATAGTGTTATCATAAGCAATTAACAGTCCTTGCAGCACTCAACTACACATTCATAATTAAAAGTAATTAAAAGTTGAGTACTCTAGTATAGCTCTTGAGAGGAGCAACCAACCCAATAATTGAATAACTTACTTAATGGTGAGATGTAGAGTGAGTTGAAAATAATATGGAATACCGTTCATATTTCGATGCAATCACACTTACCTGCAGGTTGCTATTTCTCCGCTTTGAGCTGCACTTGTTCGTCTTCATGTTGCATTTGGAGATGCAATCAAAGAAGTTGCAGTCGTCATCATTAGTGCAGTTCTGCTTGAGGATGTCTCGCATTTTGGGCTCGAAGAAAGCCATGTCCACATCTATAGCCACCACCTGCACAACAGCACAGAGAGAGGGCGTAAGTGCCGGAGTCTGATCGAGTTGCATTGCTGCCAACTTCGGAGCTCACATTGACCCCACAGGCAAGGGTTTAATACCCGTATCAATCAATCACATTTATTTTATATAGCCTCATTTATTTTCAGTATCTTCATTTACGTTCACTACTTTCAGTCTTACTTTCCCCCTTTCATCTATCTCCCTATACCTTCACCACTTGTTCTTCTACATTTTTTAAGAGAAAGGAATAAATCAAGAATAACCACATTGCAACTATTGCTCTGGGAGATATTTTGAATCTCATTGACATGGAATTATACAGTAAAAAAACAAACATGCGTCTGTTTAAGGGAGTTGGGATGCTGTTTCATCTGCATGGCTTGATATCGTCGTCCTCTTTGCTTAAGTGATGGCCCATGAGGAATGACTCCACCACAGCACTTCATGTCAGCTACAGCTGATTTGTAGCAAACATGTCAGAACACCCAAAAAATGTAAACCTCTCAATGTCGAACTCTGAAAGGTAGATAGTCTAATGGCTCTATTCAATCCGTATCGCGGAAGTTGAGCTTTATAGCGTGATTGATAATTAAAGGCAATGTTTCCGTGGTCGAGGAGACTGCATTCACGGTATGTCGGCTCAATCGGAAATTACCTTTACATTTCTAGCACGCAATCTGTAACACTTCAGCGATACAGACTGAATAGAGCCCTTAGTGATCAGTGAAAATAAGAGATGGTATTCTCGACATTGCTCTTCACTCATCCATCATGTCCAGCCAAATCAGCATAGCGTTTTAAGGAGCTGTAGATCTGACAGACATGATAATAATTGGTATACTCTCTATGTATCACTCACTACTAATAATGCAACGACGCAAGCCAACCAAATATATACTCCCAATATACTTTTAATATACAATATAGCCCCTATACTGTATACCCCACCAACATTTAATATACACAATACACCCTCTCTACCCTCTCTATATACCCCCCAGTATATAACATAGATAGAGATTTCCCTTCCTCTGTTTATTATCACATGAGAAAACTAAAGCAGGGATCAGCTGCACGGTAAAAAACAAAGTATCACCTGGAGCTATATACATGTACTTTTGAAACAAAAAGAAAGGTGGGATTGAAAGGATACTTTTTTTTATTGACGCAGCAGCAGAAATGTAGACAATAACAAGCCTCCTTTGGACTCCTCTCCTTTCTCCTGGTCTTTGTCCACACTATCAAATGAGCTCACGGTTTATGTAAACCATGATAGGGATGATAATGTTATATTTAATTTCAAACAGTGTCATCTTTTTACTTTCTATGCTTTCAAAAAAGTGTAAACTTACCCGCAATTACACAGAGAAAAAAACATGACCCCAATTGTTTTTTCGTCAGAACATTCACAAGCCAAATACAAGCTTCCATCTTTCTTTTTTCTTGCATGTTTCTCTTTTACTTCAAAGGGTAATTAGGATATTGGCATGCTAACTGTTACGCACATTGCACACTAAATGGTGTCCCTATAACAATGGTTATCTCATCAAGGGCCTCATCAAACTAATGTTTTCCAGTTTCGGATGCCGCCGCCAACATGAGCAATTGGCGTACTCTAAAGATAATATATATGTTTTTCATTGATTGCTCAAACAGCTTATTCTTTATGGCCCTGGCAAGTTTCTCTCATTTTTATGGAAATCAAATGAAAATGGTGCCAACAGAGAGGACTGTTAATAAATCGTAATGCCCTCTATTGTAACACTATGCTTTTGTGTTAATGATGTTACCTTTTTTCCCCCCTTGTCTCATCTAGGGTACTCAGAAAGTTCATTTTGGATTTCTATCTATGCTTTGAATCACCCATCAGCAGAAATACAACACGTTTTATACCGATTATTGGCACACTGATGGCACAATTGGGGTACAAAAATGCAACGTGAGGTGTATATGCACCTTGCTCTCAGTCCTTGATAGGTCAGAGTCAGCCAAAGATACATAGGTTTCAAACAGAGAAACTCAGGTGAAACTCAGACAAACTTATTTTGTTGAATGCATAGGGGGTATCCCCACAAAGCATATTTAAATAAATCTCTAATCCTATTCCTCTGTGTGTTGCCTGGATCATGGGCTTCCTCCATCTTAAAAAGCAAAGTAATATAATTGTGATAAATGGCACAACCGGCTGTTTTTGTCCTTGTGGGAAACAATTAAACAACTTAGCGCCTCGTCATTCTTCATATGGCGCGTTGTTCTCATCAAACGGTTTGCACTCTGCGAATCAATGTGCTGCAGTATTGCATGGATAAATAAATGTCTTACTGTGAAAAAAGGGAGCTAAATCTGACCTTTTCTTGTTTACACAGAAAGAATCTGAACTCCCCCACTAAAGAGAAACAAATCTCAGATCTGTGAGGGGTAACCAGCAGCCGCTCTGGGACAGTTTTAATGACAGGTTTCCCTCCAAACAAGCCTTCCATGCTGTATTAGCGTTCCTGTGTGAAAGAGTCAGCAACTTATTGCTTTGAAGCATATGCGTGTGTGTCTATAGGTGTACTCTGTGTGTGAGTGTGTTCATATGTGTGTGTGTGCAAACGTGGTCAGCTCACCGTAAGGTCCTTCCGGATGGCAAAGTTCTCTGGTTTGATGTCGCACAGGTGGAGGCGGTGCGAGAAGTCATTGTCAAAGCGCCACGCCATGTCCAGGAAGCTGAGGGCGATGCGGTGCACCATGTCCCTCGCCGTCCATGGGCCCGCCGATACCTCCTCCAGAGAGAATATGTTCTGGTCCCAGGCGTGGCCCGCTGACAAGTACTCGACTGCGTAGAAGTGTCCGCAGGAACCCAGCACCTTGGCCACGTGGCGGCTGAGGTCCTGCAGCACCCTCAGGAAGATGTACTCCTCCTGCTGGAGCAGGGACCACAGCGATGCCAGCTCTGCCCGCGAGTAGGGCCGCCCGCGCTCCCTCAGCCTCTGGCCCCACAGAGGTGGCAGCGAGGCGTTGCCACCCATGTCCAGCCCCAGGGAGTTCCTGATCTCCAGGGTGGCGTAGAAGACCACGTCCAGGGGAGCGAGCTCCTCGGCCGGGTCCTGGTACTCCAGGAGGCCCAGGCTTTCGTAGGAGGAGAAGTTCTCCAGCTTGGACTTGAGCACTACGTGCGTGCCACGCCACCGAGCCTCGATCACCTTCTTGCCATTCTCGTAGTAGAGGCAGCGCTTGTACTCCACCTGGCCGCTCAGGCACAGGTCCTCGCACAGGTCACCAGTCAGGGCGCCCTCGCGGTACTCCTCACACTGGGACAGACAGACAGACACACACAGACAAAATCTAATTATTTTTGGTGTACATAGTAAGGTTGTCATGGCAGAGTCACAAAACATTTTTTATTTTTTTTTGCCAATCTTTTTTTTCTAAAATGATGAGGCACCAACAATTTTGCACGAAACAATGGTTATTTGTGAACAGCAGATTTGAAAAATGTGATTTGCAGTCCACGTCTCATCCTAATAAGGGAATGTCACTGTGTGGTTGTGCTACTGAAATTAAAATGGACAATCCTGTACAAGGCAGTACATTTTCTGAATTTTTTTCTCTCCAGTTGATGTTGAATTAAATTACATTACACTACACTACAGCTTCGCCCACTATCTAACCTGTTCTCAATGTCTCAGATTCGCGAGCGAATGTGATTGTTGTACGTCTCGGTGCATAGACGTACATCCAGAGGTTGGAAATTATTAGTGTTCCTGGGGGATTACATCAAAAATCCCTCTCTGCCTACATTCCAAAGTAAACAGCTGTCATATTGAGTCTCTCAAGATTTCAGCGAGATGCCTAATAGCCTTGACTGGGTGGCATAGCATTAACACGTTAGCCATAGGTGTGTTTCTCTTATCACCATCCCTCACAAATGTCTATTGGTCCGTCCCCACCCTTTCCTCTCTGTGGCCTCTCTTACATGTTGCCTACAAGCCTAGGTAATACTTTACATGCACACAATGTAGTGACACATTGAAGTTAATTAATTGGTGAAATAACGTGGTTACATGTCATTCAACAGTAACTACACTGTAGCTCAATTGGTAGAGCATGGTGCTTGTAACGGCAGGGTAGTGGGTTCGATTCCCGGGACCACCCATACGTAAAAATGTATGCACACATGACTGTAAGTCGCTTTGGATAAAAGCGTCTGCTAAATGGCATATTATTATTATTATAATAATTGAAAACTGTGGTTGTGGACTATTTATTTTCATTACAATTTAGTGATTGTTTTATGTTCATTGCAGATGTGTTCCCAACGCATTAACTTAACAACAACTTCTAGTTAAGTGTTGTCCAAGTAGCATAATCATATGTGTATTTCACAAAATAAATGAAAAAGAGTAACAGTATTCTCCTCCTTCTCTGCTTGGCGTGTGCCTGATATTTAATACACAATTTACATTTGTTGAGTCTCATACTATGATTGTTTTGGTGCTCCAACTTTGTATCCTGCGCTCCAGCTTTGCTATCTGTTAGGCTGGGTGACAACACAAATGAAAGTGGCCTGTCTTGAGCTGTATCACATAGTATGACGGTCATTGCAGCCAGCTGAAAGGCCTAAGTGTCCTCCCCTTATCTCCAGAGGGCTGAACTCAGAGACCCCTGCAATTATTTTGAGGCCCCTAATGTGCCCCTGATATCTCTCGGCCTCGTGTAGGCTAACCGGTGCTGTGGCCAAACAGAAGCTAAAAACAGCTGCAGTCTGAAATTATGCAAGTCCCAGGAAATCCCGGGAATTAAAATGGATGTGTGGAATGAGGCTGCCAAGTTCTACACATCCATTTTAATTCCCTGGATGTCCTGGGACTTGCATAATTTCAGACTGCAGCTGTTTTTAGCTTCTGTTTGTATGTAAACTTTCCCACCGTGGTGTTTGGACTGTGGGCAAGTCTGTCATGATGTATTGCTTGCATTTGTATATGCGTTGGAGTTTACAATGTACAGTACATATAATTGCTTTGTTGAGAAACAATGTACATAAAGACTCCTGTCTGTAATGTGTTAGATTCTGAAGAATTAGTAAATTCCTAATGAACATGGCTTCAGCTATAGTTTACATGTCATACTGTCAGATGTGGATATGTACGGACAAGCCAAAATACAGTACAAGAGCTAAAGTCAATAAATAGCCCTGCTGACGCCCATAGCATGTTTGTTTGGTGTTTCAAACTCTAGCTAATGACATGAATAAGTGGGCTCAGGGAAACAATACACTCCAGACTTTGAATTAGTCCAAGTTATTAATGAACCTTCGGTTAACCAGCCAAGTCACAGCATCATGATTAAAGGGTCGAAACAATGAAAAAATCAGCAGGGGTTTGCTTTCTGTACTTTTCCTTCTTTTACATTTTATGTCTCGAAATCCCCAAAAAGGCAATGAACAAAGCAAACATCTATTGGCCATCAATCAGAATCAGGGAAATCTCTATTGGCTGGGCAAAGCCCAAACTCCATCTCTGGGGCACATTCCATATACTAATGTCAAAATACATTGACCTTAAAAGGCCCAACAAAAGCTAATCACATACATTGTTTATTTAGCCCAATGGCAAGGTTTACTAAAGTGTCTGCGCCACAGCAAAGATTGGTCCACTTTTCTATGATAAAATATTTGCCTTTAATTGCACCATTTATGTTTTATTGCTATTATATGACTGGGATTCAATCAAACAGACAAAGCCAAAGTTTACAAACTGCTGCCTGTTTACACACACTTCTTATTCTGAAAACCGAAGCTATGAAGAGAGTCTACCTGGAAGTGGTAGTATAGGTTTTTACAGTACTCACCATTCTGTAATCTTATTAGCTAATGGGTAAGGGAGATAAATAACGCAATTTCCCTTAGCATTTATGTAATAACAAACAAATTACATTAGTTCAGCGCATGTGTCATAAATTTGGTTAGTTTCCTGTTATTAAAAGCTTTAAAAACGTAATTATTTTGTACAATTATTGTAAATTGCTGAACTGTAGTGGCTTCAGTTCACAGGACAGTTCATAAGTTTCACACAAGTAAAGTGCAGTGGACCAGTGTGCTGGGGTCCGTCGAGCGGAGCACAGTCCGGCCCAAGCACTGGTCAGAGTCGGCATGTCTGGAATGTCCTACAACAGTGGCCTTAACGCTACTTAGATTTCTCTCACTGGAAAAATGAGCCTGAAAACAAAGATATGCTGAAATACGTCCAGAGAAGACCTTTTGTTCCCCATTAGTCGACAGACAATCGTATAAATATATACATTGTAGCCTAGATTATATACATTTGGCTCGAATTGCTAAGCGGGAACAATGTGAGAATTATTTGGGCTCACTCAAGGCCAATGTAAGCCAGTACTGTAGCCATAATTGCTCTTACTGTGTGGAGTGTGAATGTGGGGTGGACATCATTGTGTTTATTCATTTTAAACAGAGAAGAACAATAAATACATTCATTTTGAGGGCACTGAGAGGGTGCCTGTTTTACGGGAAGTCCAGTTCACTGGAAGTACTTGTATCCCATAATTATGTATGCATGCACTATACACAACCTCATTGCTGCTTATTTGGAAACTAAACCCCTTTATTCAGTAGCTTAGTGTTGCATGATCTGATCGTTTAGCTGTGGGATTCAAGCCCTCGTCATATTGTTTCTAATCTCAAAAGGCTGGTTTACTAGCACATAATACAAAACACAATAGTTACCACAGACATTATATTAATATTATATTCAATTTGACCTGTTCCATCTCCATAGGTGGTTACATACATGTGAAGCCATTTATGCCTTCAGAAAGTATTAATACCCCTTGATTTATTCCACATTCTGTTGTGTTACAGACTGAATTGAAAATGGATTAAATAGATTTTTTCTCTCACCCATCTACACACAATACCCCATAATGACAGTGATAACATGTTTTTAGCTATTTTTGCAAATATATTGAAAATGAAATGCAGAAATATCTAATTTACATAAGTATTCACACGCCTGAGTCAATACTTTGTAGAAGCATCTTTGGCAGCGATTAGCTGTGAGTCTTTCTGGGTAAGTCTCTTAGAGCTTTCCACACCTGGATTGTGCAACATTTGTCCATTATTCTTTAAAAAATACTTTAAGTTCTGTCAAATTGGTTGTTGATCATTGCTAGACAACCATTTTCAGGTCTTGCCAAAGTTTTAGAAGTAGATTTAAGTCAAAACTGTAACTCAGCCACTCAGGAACATTGACTATCTTCTTGATAAGCAACTCCAGTGTATATTTGGTCTTGTGTTTTAGGTTGTCTTGCTGAGAGGTGAACTCAACTCCCAGTGTCTGATGGAAAGCAGACTGAACCAGATTTTCCTCTAGGATTTTGCCTGTGCTTAGCTCCATTCCGTTTATTTTTTATCCTGAAAAACTCCCCAGTCCTTAACGATTACAAGAATACCCATAACATGATGCAGCCACCACTATGCTTGAAAATATGGAGAGTGATACTCAGTAATGTGTTGTATTGGATTTGCCCCAAACATAACACTTTGTATTCAGGACAAAGAGTTAATTGCTTTAATACATTTTTTTGCAGTATTACTTTAGTGCCTTGTTGCAAACAGGATGCATGTTTTGGAATATTTTTTATCTGTACATGCTTTTTTCTTTTCACTCTGTCAATTAGGTTAGTATTGTGGAGTAACTACAATGTTGTTGATCCATCTTCAGTTTTCTTCTATCATAGCCATTAAACTCTCTGTAACTGTTTTAAAGTCACCATTTTCCTTCCTCTCCGGCAAATGAGTTAGGAAGGACGCCTTTATCTTTGTAGTGACTGGGTGTATTGATACACCATCCAAAGTGTAATTATTAACTTCACCATGCTCAAAGGGATGTTCAATGCCTGCTTTTTTTTACCCATCTACCAATAAGTACCCTTCTTTGCGAGGCATTGGAAAACCTCCCTGGTCTTTGTGATTGAATCTGTGTTTGAAATTCACTGCTCGACTAAGGGACCTTACAGATAATTGTATGTGTGGGGTACAGAGATGAGGTAGTCATAAAACTGTTATTGCACACAGAGTGAGTCCATGCAACTTATTACGTGACTTGTTAAGCACATTTTTACTCCTGAACTTATTTAGGCTTGCCATAACAAAGAGGTTGAATACTTATTGATTTAAGACATTTCAGGTTTACATTTGTAATTAGTAAAATGTTCTAAAAACATAATTCCACTTTTACATTATGGGGTATTGTGTGTAGGCCAGTAACAGAAAATCGCAATTTAATCCATTTTAA